CTGAATAGTAAACACATTGTTAGAATTTTGGAAAGAGCTAAAATTTGGTGAACGGAATACAAAGCCAAATTGATGGATGGAAGGATCAATTATGAATTGAGGTGTTCAAGTTTTAATTCTAATATTAAAAAGACAGTATTGCCAGAGGTTAAATATAAACTATACACACGCTCTCATGTCAGAATTTTTAACAGAGACCATCTCTGCCAAGGAGTGACTGGAGTAGAAAAATATAGTCAAAGGGAAAAGAAAGCTCCCTCCCTCCAATTTCTTGCCCATCTTTCACTTTTGGTAATGCTTTGCAAATAACCTGCTCTGCCCAGGATGATCTTGGCTCATAGGCTTTTCTCAGCAACTCAGGACGAGATGGTCGTTTGTCCAATTTACTGCTAGAATTGATTGTATTACTTGAAATTACCGGAGAGTCCCACCACATCATTTTTTTCAAGTATCCTTAGAAACAAGGACTCGTGTTATACAATCATAGAGTTAAGCACATTTGGAGGTCATTTAGTCAATACCTGCTTAATGTATTACAGATTTGCTTAAATAAATTTAATGAAAGAGGGCTTCCGCTGTCATTTTGAAATTTTTTGTTGCCTTCAAGAAAATCAATTATGCTCGAGAACTTATACCAAGCAAAAAATGTTTGCCAAGAAAATCACAGTGTTTATTAGTTACCCTTTTAAAGGGTATATCATACTGTAGATATAATTTATTAATTATGTTACTGAGCAATTATATGGGGAATGTGAGCCATCAGGAATGTATGATTCTATAGTTTCTAAGGCAATCTGTACTGACCCAGATCCCCAAACATGACAAATCCTCTGAAGTTAATTCAAAGATTCCTTTATTAGGAGCACTAGCAGCTCTGGCAAAAAGTTTCTCTCCCAATGCAGGCTAACAAGTCCATCCAGCCTGAAGATGAATAGTTGTCTGCCACATCTATTCATCTCCACCCCTGCCATTTATCCCCAGAGCTAGGGGTGTCTCTTTGCTAGCAGTGGGTGGCTCTTCCTTCCCAAGGATCAGCCCATGGATTTCCATTGTTCTCCTATTCTCTGCCTTCTGTGCACCCTCATGGCATGCACTGGACCCAGCTGTTCCTCTCTTCCTCATCATCCACCTCCAGACCTGAGGTTCTCTGCCTCTGTCTCCCTCTCTGACAGCTCCATTCCCTCTTCCCCCTCAGAGTTCTCTTGATGCGGACCCTGACTCCCACACCATCACCTCCTCTGATTCAGCTGCTGGAGGGGCCAGCGGCCAACAGGCCACAACACATTTGAGACTTCTGCAAGATTGACTATTGGGATGAAACTTTTGCGATGCGATATTTGATCGTCCATCAGGATTCTGACTGGGAGCAAAGAAATACATCTATAACTTCTAAGTAACCGTCCAAGGAACTCTAGTCCATAGAAGAAATTTATAAGAAAATATATAGAGTTTGGTTGGATCTGTCAGAGGCTTATGTAGACCAGCAGACAATCCCACAGATGCTAGCTGGAAATCCAGAGCAGGATACAAAAACTCTTAAGCCCCTTAGCAGCTACTGATCAGAAGCATTTTGACTCTGAAATTAGAAAAAAAATATATTAAAATAGTAAACAATGGCTTTATGACCTAGAGCATTTCCCCCATTATTTGTATAATTCATTTTAAAACTCTCTAATGGTGGCTGAAGGAAATCATAATATAAAGGCTGATTTTGAGTTGCCTGCAACTGCCTGTAGATGTCACTGCATACCTAGGCTCCAATGGGGTTGATGGGTAAGCATAGGTTGCAGATGGCTGCAGACAGGTCAATGTACACACCAGGGGTGGGTTCTAACCAGCTCTACTACCGGTTCTCTTCATGTGCGTGCTTCGCGCACAATTGCCTCTTTGATCGCGCGCTCTGTGCGCGATCGCCACACGCATGCTTGGTTCGCTTGCAGGACACCAAACTTGCGCTTTGCGCAAGCGTGTTGTGAATCTGCCCAGCTGAGGTGCAGCAATCTGCTCTGCTGCACCTCTCAGCTGGACGAAAAAAGCAGACATATAAGGTCACAATAACGCAGGGGCAGGCAGGAGGGCCCAGCTCCCGAAGACAGAGAACTGGTTCGGTGACATCATATCATCACCACTACCGGCTCTCGCGAACCGGGCCGAACCGGGAGGAACCCACCACTGGTGCACACCTCCCAAACCACAACTGTGTGTTGTTGGTCCAACTTCCTGTTTTGGGTTTGAGTGCCCCCTAGCCAGGATATTACATTTGCAGAAATATAAATGGAACACATACAGTATGCAACTGTCCCCAAACGACAGATACAATGATGGAGAAATCTGCTTGTCCATTAGGTTTGGTGCATAAAAGTATTGTTTGCTTTGAATTTGTAAATCATTTACTTTAGTTGAATGATAATGATAAAATAACTTGGGTATATCCTTCACATCAAATACGTTTACATACTTCTCTGCTATGCTCCTTTCTCTTTTTCTGAGCTAAAAGGTCTCAAGTGCCGTATTTTTGCTTCCTAGATGAGTTGTTCTCTTGTAATCTTAGTTTCTTTTCTCTGCAACATTTTAAGCTACAGATAACATGAAGCTATAATAATTAGAACTATATAACTTATATATGGGGTTTGATATGGATACTTTTAGTTTTTATTTCTTTTCCAATAGTTCCATAGGACTTTTCCCCAAATAGCTATACTTTGAGTCAATGTAATCCCAAAATGGAGTGCTAAGAAATGCACAGTTTGGTGATTCTAGATTAGTTAGATGGCACAAATTGCAGGTAGTCCTTGAGTTATGACTGTAATGGAGCTTGCACATCATGGTTTTAACTCATGATGGTCATAAATATGCTCGCATATGTGACCGACCCTATTCTACAACCTTTCTTGTGATAGTCATTAAGGATTGTTAAGTGTACCAATAGTTTGCTATGGGCCAGTTTTGCCAAAAACTAGAAGTAAATTCTGGCTTTCAGCAAAACCATTGTAAAACATGGTCATGTGACCCTGGGGTGCTGCTAAAACAAAACCACATCAAAGCAAAGTTTCAGTTAACTCAAGGAGACAATAATTATTATTAATTATCTATTATTATTATTTCAACATTACAGTTTTCCTGCCTTAGAGGAGAGAGAAGCCATTGTGGCATGCCTGGAGTTGGTTCCGACAATTCCAATTATTCATAAGTGGTGCTCTTTCTAGAATTTGAGAGACAAGGAAATGTATTTAATTTCAAATATCATGAATACATTTGCAAATCATGAATAATAATTATTTATTTCACTGCCACGGAGGAAAATATTGAGAAATTCCCTCTCTTTTGATAAGGAAGCCTTGCTTGCCAGTTTGACGGCTCTCTTATTCCAAAGCAAGACATATGACATGGAAATCAGAAACCCCTGAGGGCAAGGAAGGAGCATAAGAATAAGAGCCTATTAGGTGTACATGTCCTGCCCATGACTTTATTAAATATTTTATCCTTTGAATCTGGCAGAGTTTTCCATTTCTTTGTCTCCTTCTCTCCCTCCCATCTATCTATGAAAGTGGTTAGAAAATGTTGAAACCCATCCCCAAACAATCCAGGTTAAGGTTGCTGCCTTCAAATGGCAGCTGCCTTGAGAACTTCAGCCATTTTCTCATACTGTTAAAGAGCCAGAAATAAGCAGACAGTTCTCTGGCATCCGACTTAAAAGTGCTTACAGCCTGACCTTCACCTTTACACAAGTGTTGCTTCTACTGTATCCTATCAAGCCAGCTGAAAGGAATTACTGGAGTTGCCAGGTAACCAAACCTAGCCTTCTTGACATATGAGCCAGTTATTAACCTGAACATTTGAGTAGTCCGTCTCCACAGTTAAATAACAAGTAAAAAATACTTATCATTTACAGTGATGTGGCATTAGTTTTACCTGTATATCAGACATAGGCTGTATCTTCAATGTCAGAAAAGAGCAGAGTTTTACTAGGAAGACAGTCAAACAAGACAGATGGTGATACGGTTTAATCAGCTTTGCTAAAGGCTAAAAGGAGCTGCGTGAAATGGACAATTGGGGTAAGACACAAAATGCTTTGCAAATTTAAAGTTGTATGTTTCTATCTCTAACGTTTTGAGTATCTTTTTTAAATGGATTAGGTACACATTTGTAAATAGATTGCTAGGTGCTTTGCTCGTCGCAGCATAAATCCAATGATTAAATACTGTGGGGCTGAAGTGTCTGCATATTTCAGATGCAGAATTGATAAAGTTGCAGTTATGGAGTAACTAAGTGGGTTTTAGTAGCTCTACAGCTGGAATCGGAAGAGTTTTTAATGTACAGCAGAATGTGAACTTGTTTCAGATATGTGTGCCCTCAAGACCCTACTGTTCCGACAGGCGGGGCTGTCTAACTGAATGATTTTAAATTGGGTTTTAATTTTGGGTTTTAAAATTCGGCCAAAACTATTTAATGATTTTAATTAATTTTAACCATGATATCTGTATATTTATGTTTTAATTCTGGCTGTACATTCTGCCCCGAGTCCTTCGGGAGAAGGGCAGTATATAAATAAAATTATTATTATTATTATTATTATTATTATTATTATTATTATTATTATTATATATTCATGGAAAATTTCAATCTAAAAATATTCTATCCTCTGCCTTAAAACAATCCTGCTGTATTGGTAAATAAGAAAGTTGTATGCTCTCTGTTTGTCTTAGACAGCTATGCCACCTCATTTACATGGTGTTATTACCATACAGTATAAGTCAAGAGATATACCATTATAGTGAATATGTCAAGATTTGCAAGTGACTTTTCAGTTTCAATTGGTTTTTCTTCCCTGACAGATCTAGGTCAGTCTGGCCTGAATTGTATGTATATAACTGTTTATGGTATAAAGCACCGATTCCTTTTAAATATTTTTGTATTATTTCTAGGTATTACCGTGCTCCAAGTATATGTCACTCGACTTAAGAAACTCAACGCTGCCAGGATTTCAAATTAAGGAGAAATGCTGCATCATCTCTCAACTAGCTGCCCAAGGCCATTTCCACTGATGCAGCGGTCATTATTTATTTAGGGTGCCTTATCGAGAAACAGCCTGCCTATAAACATGATTTGCCTGGTTCTGCACTGTGGTTTCCTGCTTCATGCCATTGAAACATCCATCACCGTTTATTATACAACCTTACCTCTCGCCAGTTCACAGGGACATTTCCCAAGTCTTGAAAATGTGGGTGCTTTCAAGAACATTTCCATTGTGCCAACCCAAGCGACCTGTGGATTGCCAGAAAGGACTACTTTTTGTCAAAGTTCAGCTGTTGTTGAAAGTATTAACTTCTGTATTTGGCAATTTTGCATTCAGAAGTGTCCGTATAGATCATCTCCTGCTTCCTATGCTGCCATGCTCTCAGAAGGCCTGGGCAATGTTATCCAGCAAGATCAAAATGATGTGCCTCCTGGGTCTTTTAGCAACACGAGTATTATTTTTCATGGTGAAAAGGGTTGTTTTTCCACTCCTCATCCTCGGAAGCTTGCTGTTTCATTTACTTTAACTGTATGGTTGAAACCTGAGAAAGAAGGTGTAATGTAAGTAGCTGGCCAGATGGTTACTCAACCAGTAAAATCAAACATGATAATAGACATAATTTCTTTTGGAGTCATATAAAGCGAATGGCACACTAATGTATTAACATTGTTTTTATGTAATCTTAGAAATACTTCTTGGTACAGGTTTACTTGACTGTTTCGGCAACATTTGTGGATTACCTGTTTGATTGCACTGCATGCCTGCTATCTTGCTAATTACCAAATTTTATTTATGAACTACTGTTATCACTTCTATTTCACTTCTATCACTATTGCATGGTGTTGGATAAGGGAGAACTAGTTAGTCAACAGGTAGCCATGGAAGCTCACTTGTAGTAGCTTAATCCAGATAACATCTGCCTCAGTCAAAAGTTTTGGTGATTGGGACAGCTGATTACATGTAGAAGTATCTCGGGACCATCTTCTCTCCCCCTCTTCCATGCCGAGTGTTTATGATGCTTAGGTTATGCCTGCTGCATTCACTGTGGCAGGTGGAAATGGCCATTATAGTGGATGGGAAATCTTTCTGTGAACAGACACGGAATATCTATGGAGATCGTCATAGATTGTCCCAAAGGTGTTTTTTCAAGAGGCAACTGGATTTTCTTGTTTTTCTTGGAAGACATTTTGCTTCTCATCCAAGCTTCTTCTTGGATGAGAAGTGAAACATCTTCAAAGAAAAATAAGGAAGTCCAGTTGCCTCTTGAAAAAGCACCTTTGGGACAGACAGGGAATAGATATAATTTGTCTATGGAAATCTTTGGCCTAACAAAATAGTAGCCAGCTAAATATAATGGAATATAGATTTGAGGTCAATATTCTCAGTTGTGCACAATAACCATCTTGGACTAATTATTTTGAGCTTTTGCCTTCTGCATTATTATTTAGCATTGTTACAACTCTACTCATTCATCTTTCCTATAATCTAGGAATATGGTGTTCTTTATCATTCATTTATTCATTACATAAAATAGGACACTGTCACATCTCTTTACTGTTGAGATATTTGATAAGTAATCATCCCTTTGTGTCATGTTTTGGAATGTGGATATGAGGGAACATTACTGGACTGGATGGAATGGGCAGGATGCTAAATCCAGAAGTTGTTCTCTAGTAATACGGTGCATGATAGAATCAGATTTGGGATGTCTTGTGCATTTTGGTGAGTGATGTCTGGGGAGCAATAATAGATTAAGGTGATTATCTTTGTATGGGTTGCTTCCTTCTTGGGAAATAGAAATAGCATTATGCCTACTATCTATCCACTGACAGTGTAGATGAGGAAATGTTTTAACTCTTGCTCTGTGATCATGGATGTCTCATCCACAGAGGCTTATGTGTTTCAGTTTGCATGCTTGTGTTTCTACCTGTGTGTATTTTGCAAGGAAGGACAGTTTTTAGAGCCAGTTTTTAGAGTGAATCTCCAGAGATAGATTAAGGAAAAAATTAGGTTCTTTCTCCATTGATTGATAAATCCTTTTGTTGATTAAGACATTGTTGGTTCTTTATAGCTCCTTGGGGCATCAAACATTCAATCCCTATTCAAAAAGTGATGCAGCAAGGATGTTTTTGAACTTCAATATTAATTCTCTGGTGTAGCTATGGCAAACATGAGTTTCACTCATTGTTGACCACAAGGCCTGCTTCAATTCTCTTATGTGGTGAGTATATCTTCTGTACAATGCAACTGGGACTAACGTGAACACTCTGGGCCTTTTTCTTGTAGAAAGGAAAGATTTGTCAAATATGACAAAATGGAAGTAATAATTGTCTCCCAAATTCCTGTCACTTTTCCCCATTCCTATTTCAACTAGTTGTCTGTGTTTACAGGATAATTGTTTGCCACAATGGAAGATGGGTATAAATTGGGATGTAAGATTTTTATTAGCTCAGTATTTGACCTTGATTTCCCTCAAAAGAGCCCTGACATTGCTGAAGCAGTGTACTCTTGATAACAATATTCAAAATATTTTTCTCCACTTTTAATATAGTGCATGTTTGGAAGCTCTCTCTCCCATGCTACTTATCTAGTCAATACCAAATATACAATTCATAAGAGAATCCTTACACTCCCTTACATTATGATGTTCTTCTGCCTTCATTGCTGGAGATAAGATTTAATAATATTCCCAGGCAAGGGTGACTATGTACCTGCTCATTGTGGGTAATGGTATCAGTCTCAGATACGTTTTTGTGCTACTCTTTCTACTTGAGTTAGTGTTCTTTATTAGCAAACACAATAGAGCAGATAAAGCAAATGGTTTTTCTTTTCTTAGCCGACAAGTCATCCTACTTTTCAGAAGGGTTGCCCAGTTCTGCTCTATCGTTATTGCCATTTGATGTTCCCTTGTTTCTTTATAAACTTGTTTAATGATTTTATAACTTTTCATTTATTCTTTGGTCTACAAGTGCCTGGAATGTGTAAACATGCTGTTTTGTTATCCTCTTGTTGATTGTAAACCACATAAACTCTATATGGATATGTGTGGAAGTGCCCTGTAAATGGCTGGTGGTGGTGGTGGTGAATGGAAGACTGAAGCAGAAATGAGAGTGAATAATCTGTGCCAGCTGATCCAGGCATTTGCTAGATCCACATTGAGTCTCCAGAGCCATGGCTATGTCTCTTTTGCATAATTGATTTATTGGGAGAAAACTGAATTGTATATGAATGTTTTTAAAGCTTAGGTACAAAAGACTTCAATATGTGGTTTAAAATTCATTTTAAAAATTCATTTGGAGCAGGGGTGTCAAACTTGCATCATCATGGCAGCATCACATGATGTATCAGGACTTCCCCCCCTTTGCTAAACTGGGGGTGGGCGTGGCCAGCACATGATGCATCCAGCCCACAGGCCACGGGTTTAACAGCCCTGATTTAAAGTAATTGCTGGTTGTTGAGGTCTTACAGGACAAGAAGTGTTGTTTTACCCTACAGTCAGTTAGTGAGAGGGAGATAAATTTTGTAACATCCAGCTTGAATGACCCCATTTTTTTTTTCTTGGTGATTTGGGTAGAAGGAGTTGAGCAATTCCTTGATTTTTAACTGGATTTTGTTGTTCACATAGTGTGATTGCCTTTAGCAATAGCTAAACCTGCTACCATAGATTAAAGCAGCCTGTCTCTAACCACAGTTGACTGACTGACTGCATGTTAACACTAACATTGTCCTTGACTAGTAAATGTCATACAAACATAATCATGATTTCTCAACCTAATCAAGTTATTATAATAGGGATACAGCTGGAAAACAAATTCTATGTTTGAATGTTTGAACAAATGGAAAAGTGTGGCTCCAATAACCACACAAATAACAACATTTTATACTTTAATTTCGAACTTGTGTTTAAGCAAAAGGTTGAATTTTCATAAACTGGCACTTCATTAATACAGAAGTTAAGTTACATTATGTTAACTATCAGTTGCAATCTTACATTCAACGTTTATTATCAGATTTCACATATGCATGGCAAGTTTGATGGCTAAAATAGATAGAATCTAGGCGAGGCATATATTTAATACTGTTCTGCTGTCAAACAGTGTCCCCTGTCAGGAGATGCTTTTCATTGCTATTGTAAAGTGTATTGTTTTTATTTGTAATTAATAATGTGAACAGCAATAATACTAATACTGTACATGTTCCAAATATCTCTTTAAGAGAGTTTGTGTTTTGGGGGAGATGTGTATTTACCAAGTCCCTGTACTTGCCATATAATTCAATGATTCAACAACCCAATGGTTAGCAAAGTGACTTAATTTAATAAATAGGAAGCATTTCCTAGGCAGTTGTTAAGTTTCTACATCTTTCATATGAAACACTTATTTACATATTTGATGTATTGATGTTCTGATCTTAAAGCAATACAGAAACAGAGAAATGAATGAAGTATTTAAAGTAATTAGCCATATAAAGGAAGGGGATAGTCCTGGTGGCCCTTAAAGAGGCAGTAGTGTACTCTGTTCTCAAGCATCCATTACTTGATCCAGCAGTCTGGATAATTCTCATTCAGTCTCCAAATTCCCCATTTTGGGAACCATTGTGGAGAATGTGGTAGTCCTATGGCACCTTCAGAGGCCTCTGGATTAACAAATTATATGGATCTCTTTCAGTTAGGTTCAGGCTTGGATATATGATCAGGATGTTATTGATTTGATGAAAGCGGAATGAGGGTTGTTCATCCATCTTTATTGTTCTTGACCTCTCAGCAGCTTTCAATACTACCAATCATAGTAGCACTTTGAATTGAATCTGGAAGGCTAGGTGGAACTATGGTGTGCTGTTGCTCTTCCTTCCTTTAGGGATGGTTCCAATCAACATTGATGATTGGAAAAGATTCAGACCATGGCGTCTAATTTTGGGGTGACACAGGGCTTGATTCATGCCCTTGTGACCTTCCATCTGGACTACTTTAATGTACTGTATGAGGGTCTGCCTTGAAGAGTATTCAAAAACTTCAACTGATGCAGAATGCAGCAGCATGGGTAGTAAATGGCATGACACCATACTTCATGAGCTGCATTGGTTGCCAGTGTGTTCTGGTTGAAATTCAAGGTGCTCGTTGTCCTCTTTCAAGCCATGGCTTGGGACCTGAGAACTTAAGAATCCATCTTGTATCTTAAGTTGTTTCTACCTGTTTGATCTAGTCCAGCAGGACTGGCATGCTCCAGGACCTGCAGGCTAAGAAATATTGACTACAGTGGGTTAGAAGACAAATCTTTTCTATCATAATAGTAGACCTTTGTCCCTCCAGAGATCAAGTTGTCCCCAACCATGCTGGTCTTTTGTAAGGCTCTAAAGATCTAGTTTTGCGTCCAGACCGTGGCCCCACATGTGTGAAGGGATCCATCCCCTGATGATGTTAGCTATTGATGTAACTACTGATCTCTTGGCTATGTATTTCAGTTTTTGTAATTGTGATGTTATTGTTTTTATTTTTAAGATTGTTCCATGCCCAGATTAATTTGCTGAAATGAGAGAAAGGGGAGGATGGAAGGATAAAAGGAGGGAGGGAGGGAAGGAAGGAAGGAAGAAAATATATAATTCAGTGGTCCATGGAAGGCATTGGATTTATGTGTGGCACTCCTTTGAGGATAGAAAAGGCTTTCATGAAAATAATTGTAGTATTGAAGGGCTTCTCTTTGTACTAGTGAAACCTCCACTACCATTGCCTTCTATCATAAGTGTTCCACAAGTTTTAGAATTAAAATGGAAGTATGGATGGCCAGAGTGAAAAGAATCAATCAATATGGTTTCTGCCTTCATCACCATAAAAATGCCTGGACTTGGATAGGACAGAAACATTCTAGTAAACTTGGTCACTACTCTTAGAATTTCTCTCTAACGATAAAATATGCATGGATACATTCATATAATTAAAAGATGTCAAGCTGGATTTGAATGATAATTAATGCTTGGGACAATAATTGAACTGAATGGATTTTTTTCACTTTAAAAAAAAAGCAGACTAGGCCAATAATGTGTGTCTTGATATGGCTAGGAAGGTTTTCAGTTACCTATCATACTTTGATATGAAGTCAACTTTTTCTTGAAAGGTTTTTTGTCATTGTAGTTATGTTGTGTCAAGATTGACATACTTTCACCAGATGGGAAATTAGTTGTAAATCACACATTTGTGAAAACTTTATGGATTTTAAAGTATTATACATCAGGGTCACATCCTTTGTTAAAGGCAGGACACTTGTTGGGGTCCACATATGGAGATATTTGTTTTTAGATAAGCAAAATTAATAAACTTTGGATTATCCAATTATTGTTTATCCAGGAACTGAATAAATCCAGTTCCTAAATATTTTCCTTCTTGGCTGTGCCTTGACAAATATTTGATATTGAAAAACCAACATGTTTACAAGCAGGCAGAATCAGCAGTATATTAAGAAATGCATTTTTAGCAACATTGCAGATTGCATAGTTCACTTAAAATTCTGTTGACAAATAATTGATGGGATCAGAATCATTACTGAAAGAGAATAATGGTCAAACTTCATTTATCTTGTCTGATTAAAAGTGAGTTAGTGACAAGCCAGTCTCTGGGCAAGAATCGTGTCTCTCTTTAACCGAACTGCAGTGGGAAAACAACAAAGTTCTCTTTGAAATAGTATATGCCCTTTAACCTTGAACTAATGTAAGAATTTTAGAAAAGTTGGAACGTTTTATGAATAAATGTTTTATTGTGTGCTTACATAGCATTGTAATATAAAGGATGGAATCCAGTTGCATTTATTTGCTGATCTTGCTCAAATGCAAAGATTCTCCCCTTTTGTATATTCCTACAAGGGGGAATATTTTCTGTGGAAGATTGGCTCACCATTTGGAAGAGAACTTGATGGCATGCAAAGGAACTAGCAATAGCACTTAGAATTATATACTGCTTTGCAGTGCTTTACGGTCCTTGCTAAGCGGTTTACAGAGTCAGTATATTGCCCCCCCAAATCTGGATCCTCATTTTACCAACCTCGGAAGGATGGAAGTTTGAGCCAACCTTGAGCTGGTCAAGATCGAACTCTGGCAGTGAGCAGAGTTAGCCTGCAATACTGCGTTCTAACCACTGCACCAGCATGACTCAAATAGGACAACTGGAAAGCCTGAATAAAAAAAAAGCCTGCTTGTACAATATTGGATGTGGTAGTATCAGTTTGATAATTATCAATTTATCAGTATTAATTACCAACTTTACTACACATTAGGATACAGTTCCGTGGACACTGTCTTAGTTATTAAGTGGCAAAGTGAGGTAGTGACTTCACGCAGCAGATGTTGTAAAACAATAGCTGCAGTTTAGGTAACAAAACTGAATGTGCTACATTAATTGTCCAATGCTGCTCCCCTCCCCTTAAGGTAACATTTTTTATTCAGAATAACATCCCATCAATGGTGAAGTAAAATTCTGTAGTCAGTCCGCTTTCCATCCTTCTGAGGTTAGTAAAATGAGGACCCAGATTGTTGGGGACAATATGCTGACTCTGTAAACTGCTTAGATAGGGCTATAGAACATTGTGAAGTGTAAGTGCTATTGCTATAAAGGAATGGCAGGAAAATAATTTTCACCTGAAACAGCTAGTATCTTTGGTGGGGCCTGAATGAAACATTATGTCTTTTCTTACATAGCCCAGGCTTATCCTCAACAATGTTGGACTTCTGCAAGATGCCATGTCTTCCCACAGCTCACAAATGATCCTTCTTAATTATCAACATGGAGTTCAAGTGGTTTTAGCCTAAACCAGTTCTATGACCAAGAAATATTTGCAGTATAGCCTACCACTACAAAATTCCTGACATATGGTTATCCAAATTCTGCTTAAAGTTCTAAAACAAAGAAAAAAAATATTTCTCAAAGCAACCTGTCCACTGACACACAACATTTGTTATGAGGAAGTTTCTTCTAATGTGCTTGACTGTAATTTCCATTGTTGATTCTAGAGAGTAGCAGAACGAATCCTACACTGTCTTGTGAATGCCAGTATTCCAGAATTTGGAAGGTTATTATTTTGCTTATCCTTTATGTTCTCCAGACTAAACATACCAAGAATATGTGTAATATACATAAAAAAACAAGTGGAAATTCAATTGCACGACCAGGGCTGCTGTGTTGATTTTTTTAAAAATCCTGCACTAAGCCCTGAAAATATTTAGCTCCTTTGTTCATATTAGAATTTTTTTGCCATTATTCTCAGTGTACTGACTGCCCTTCTGTGCAGGTAGCCTAATGTGTCACTGACTTTAAATTGTACCAAGAGTACAATGTTGCTTCCAGTGGCCCAGATATTATGCTTCTGTTAACTGAATGATGGATTGCATTAGCTTTTTTTAAAGCACATGTAATATCCTGAAACATCTAGATCCTGCTTATACAGAGGGATGTTTATTATTAACTTCTTGTACTTCAGCCATCAATTTATAAATATATCTGTTGGAAATATCATCTTATTAGTTTTGACCCATTGAAACTTAATTTTGTCTTTTGTTTATTGGCACCCACTTCTTGCAAATCCAGATTACTTATACAAATTTGATGAAGAGAAAGAGCCCCAAACAGAGGCTTAAAATAAGAAACCTTCCACGATAACTTATTTGACTTTAATTCTGTTAAACTTAATTCCTGCTTTATAAATACCTGGCTACTCACACCTGCATCACTACTCCCCCACCCCATTTCTCTAGTAATCCCACTGCTCTTACTGAAGTTCATCTTCAGTGTTGTTTTCTTTATTGTTTCCAAAGGTGTATGGTGGAGAAAACTGTTCATGGGCAGACTGTGTTCAAGCTTACAATTTCTGAGAAAGAGACAGTGTTTTATTATCACACTATAAATGGGCTGCAGCTACCGATAAAAGTAATGACACTGGGGAGAATTCTGGTGAAGAAATGGAATCATCTTAGCGTGCAGGTGAGTTAAATAAATAAATAACCTTTAGTATCAGTATTAAAGTCTTGTATTATATGAGAGGGGCACCTCTGAACAAATGTTAAAGTGGTAGAATTTAACTTAAAATATTATGATAAAGTGGGGGGACAAAGGAGGATACATTTCTTTATTTCAAACTGCGCTCCTTAACAGAGTTTTAACAATGACCAGTGTTCATTCCTGCATATAATATCTATCACGGGATTGTAAAGCAAGCAAGCATAGCAGTAAAATAGGTATTGAAATATTTCATAAGATACTTAGCCGTGCTGAACATAGCATTTGCCTTATAAAAAAAGGTTCTAGGTTGAATGAGAAGAGATAAAGTTCCTGGATTAAATACCTAAGAAGTAGGAGATCAGTACTATCATGTGTAATAGCACTGACTCTCTAATCCACCACTAAAGATGCTATATGCATATACAACACATACATAAACTTCAGTACTTTTCAGATTCCGTATGTCATTTGTTAGGGCGGGGGAGGCTTGTGTACAGAATTTTGGGCATCGTAGGCAGCTTTTAGATGTTCAAAATAATGAAATTGTTCCACTGGCCAAAGGACACAACTACATATAACTCATAATCAATCATTAGTGTCATACTCAGTGAGTTAGTATCTCCTTTGGGGCTGACATAATAGCACATAAAATTGAAAGCTGACCTCTGTACTGGTACTATGAGCAAATGCCATGAAGTAGTAGTATTCAGCAGCTCCACCATGAACCTAGAGGGTCTAAAATTAGCATAAGGGTTTAGATCTAAAGATTCTACAGAATTTATTAACTAGATCTAAGGTAAAAGCTGAAGAGGGGAGAGCACATTCTATGCAGGGAATATGGGATTGCAATGATACAGAAGGGCCATGCAGTATGTCAGACTACCTTCCAAAAAGATGCTTCAGAACAAATGTAGCACCCATCTATATTTCTTTGAAGCAACATTATCAATTCAGCTGTTTTAAAGGGTTACAGAAAAATTGTATTTTTCAAGTTGCTATGTTCTCCAAAGCTCTTTTTTGGAGTCTAAAAATCTAAAGCATCACATAGCCCTACTGTACAGTGTCAGAAGTGGCTATCATGTAAAATTAGATTATTTTGCTGTTTTCCTAATGTTTGTTTATATATTTCCCTCCATAAATGAATAAAGGAATCATGAACTTTGAAGAGTCTTAACAGAAGTATGTTGTCATTTGCACTTATACCAAAACTAGAGTGAAATGGGTCATCTATAGAACTGCCACTTGGGAATGTTTTATTACATATTCAGTATCACTAATTATTTAATAATATTCATATTAGCTTTTATTTTGCTCAATCACATTTGCATAACTTTGCCATGTTTTGGCAGTGCCACATTAAAAGCCTTAGAAAAGAAATTTAAATGCAAAATGTAAAGAGGTAACTGGATTTGAATTACTCCTTTGGGAGCAAAATGCTCTTAGAATGCCTATTGAAATCAGCATTATCATTTCAATACATGTCAGATGTGAGCCTTTTTTTAGTTTGGGCAACATTTCTTTATAAATCTTTAAATCTTCCAGTTCTTTCAAGAAAAGGTTAAAGTACTTATGATTTAATGAGACCACTTTACATCATAACTGTTTGACTATCAAGAGAAAACTTGTCCTTTCCAATTTGTAAAATCTTCTTTTTCCTTCTTCTCTGGAATGTTTTGGGGACTCTGTATTTTATGCTTAATGACAAGCGCATGACAATTTCAAGCATACAGAACAAAACATTTACTCCTTCATTACAAGTATGGATAGAAAAGCAGGAACTGCAGTCTCAGGCTCACAAAGCCTGCCATCGAGGATTTCTCTATAGCTGCGTTTTTATCAAAGACTCCTGAGCAACCTTTGTGGTCACGGGATAGTAGGAGGACCTCTCCTTCCATAGATTTTGAACTAGTTAAAAATAGAAAGCAATGAGTAGCAATGAATGAACAGGTTTCTCAATGGAGAAAAGTAAGAAGCAGACTACTTCAAGGATCTGTGTTAGAATAAGTGTTTTTTTTTAATTTGTTCTAACATATTTTATCTTATGAATAATAAGTAAGGTGGTCAAGTAGACCATAGTAGAAAATATTCGGTGTGGCAAGCATTAAAAGTAGCTGCTCAACTCAGTATATTTCTGATTATACATTCATAGCGTGTCTCCTCTCCTCTCCTCTCCTCTCCTCTCCTCTCCTCTCCTCTCCTCTCCTCTCCTCTCCCCTCCCCTCCTCTTCCCTTCCCTTCCCTTCTTCTCTCCTCTCCTCCTCTCCCCTCCTCTCCCCTCTCCTCCCCTCCCTCCCCCCAGTGGAGGGATTCAAATAATTTAACAACCGGTTCTCTGCCCTAATAATTTCTTCCAACAACCTGTTCACCAAACTGCTCAGAAAGTTAACAATTTGTTCTCCCAAAGTGGTGTGAACTGGCTGAATCCCACCACTGCTCCCTTCTCCCCTCCCTCCTCTCCCCTCTCCCCTCCTCTTCCCACATAATCAGACTCAATTTTACTACTGTTTTTATGATAGTTGTTAAGTGAATCACCATGATCGTTAAATGAACCACATACTAGTAAGGGCAAACTCATTTTATCCAATGGGTGTTTTTGTCATTTTCCAGCCCAAAAAAACAAAAAAACAAAAACATTGCAAAACTCAATCATGTGACCACAGGACACCAGTTGTAAATGCGAGTCTGTTGCCAAGCACCTGAAATGTGAACATGTGACTACAGGGATGGTGCTGCAGTTATAACTTCAAGGACAGGCCATAAGTAAAATTTTGGAAGTCCATCAACCTTTGAACAGTTGTTAAGTGACATAATAAGGACTATGTCAGTGGTGGGTTTCAAAAATTTTTACTACTGGTTCTGTGGGTATGGCTTGGTGGGCGTGGCATGGCTTGGTGGGTGTGACTTGGTGGGCATGGCAGGGGAAGGATACCATAAAATCTCCACACCCACTCACAACCTTCCAGGGGAAGGTTACTGAAAAATGTCCATTTCCTCCTGATCAGCTGGGACTTGGGAGGCAGAGAATAGATGGGAGTGGGACCAGTCAGAATTTTTACTACCGGTTCTCCGAACTACTCAAAATTTCTGCTACCGGTTCTCCAGAACTGGTCAGAAGCTGCTGAAACCCACCTCTGGACTACGTGTTTGCCATTCATTTGCTTAATGGATATAGGTGGCTGACAAATAGCAAAAGCATTGAAATGTAAGTGGTATAGAACACAAAAAACTAGAACAATGGTTTTAAAGGGTCAGTGAAAATAAATATGCTTTCACTCTGTTTTTAAATTTAGTAAGCAGGGGGCCTTGCTTCAACTACAGTGGCAGTTTATTCTATTTTATAAGCCTGTACCATGAAGAAAGCTAAATTTGTTGTTGATGTCAAAGCTAGCCTAGTAGGACCAATAAAAAACAGACCACTAATAAACAGAGTATGTTGGGTAGACAGTAGGGAAATAGGTAGTTCTTTAAATAGCTTAGACCTAAGCCATGCATTTCACTTATTTGGAATTTATATGCCACTTTTAAAATTGGTTTTCTCATTCACTTTATTCTATACTAGAAACAGTTAACGGATAGCACTAGACAGGCCACTTTTGAACCCAGAATATGATCTAAAGCAAGAAGTAAATAGCAAATGTTTGATTCAATCTCGCAGAGAAGCTTATCACTAGTCCTCATTACTTATTATTATTTCTATTAAACTTGGTGTGTATATTCCCTGGAACATAGTTGTAAACCACAGATAGGACTTTAGGAATAGGATCAATGATCTATACATGCTAGCTGTGTATCTGTCTCATCTATCTTCTAGCTTATCAAAAAGATATTAGTTTGGTGTTGTGGAAAAAGTGTTGGTCTAGAAATTAGGAGAGTGGGTTCTAGGCCAGCCTTGGGCATGAAAGCTGGCTGGGTGACTTTGGCCCAATCATTGTCTCTCTTGACCCCACTCAGCTAATAGGGTTGCTGTTGTGGGGAAAATAGGTAGCAGGAGTATTAGGAATGTTTATCATCTTGAGTTAAATATATAAAAAGGCAGGATAAAAACGTTATAATAATAAATAACATCACAAAAATAATGTAAAAATCAGTATAACAGTAAAATAGCTTTCTTCAGTGTATAATCTAGAATTACATGCAGCACTTTTCAGAGCAACTCTCTATAAATTCAAAATAACTTCATACTCTATATTCATAAATGCAGCCTAAACACAAGTCATACAGAGAAAATAATGTAAAGTAGATTAATGAACAGAGGTGGTCGAAGGGTAGAAATTCTTTTAGAGTCACAGTGACACAAAGTAGGTGCTAGGAAATTTCTATAGTATCCTGTAAAGTTTATGGATAGGTAGGAGATTGATGAATACTCTAGAGCAGGGGTCAGCAACCTTAAACACTCAAAGAGCCATTTGGACCCGTTTCCCACAGAAAAGAAAACACCGGGAACCACAAACACTGCATATATTGTTTTTTTACCTTTATGCTATGTATTAAAAAACTTATTTATCCATGTTTGGATTACTGGGGGGTCCAAAAGCTCAATAAATTGTGTGCCGGCGGATATCACACATTGGCAATCGTGACACATATTTTGAGTGAGAGGGAGCCACAGCAGAGGGATAAAGGAGCCACATGTGGCTCCAGAGCCTTGGGTTGCTGACCCCTGCTCTAGAGACAGAAAAACTAAGGCCAAGAAGTCAAGCTATTTTGCATTGGGTAGCTATAGGTATTATGTAGACCTAAAATCACAAAATAATTTTAAAGTGATGTACTAGAAAAATATTTAAATACAATTCTTTAGGTATATATATATATATATATATATGTATACAAGACTTTCACCAATTAGTACGCAAAGATTTATTTTGAAAACCAGAGTAACTAAATACTGCAGGCTTTATACAGCCCAGTAATAAATCCTGCACCAGTTTAAAGTCACGAAATCATATATTATTTCAATCGGATGAACTAATACTGTGGGTCTT